TCCAGTTTGGGATTTTATTAGGGGTCCACTTAATGGATTCCCGAGTCGTTAAATTGATGGAGGTTTTTTGGATTATTGGATTTTAACAATAATAATTTTTGAGGATTTTATAATTAGAGTTCTTTTCAGCTTATTATTTTATTCTTATTTCATTTTGAAATCTGTGTTCATTTAAATATTAATTATTTGATATTCTCTCGGGTTTGGGCTTGGGCCTGATCACCCATGTCTCATATTCGAGGGGTACCACAAATCCCCACCGAAAGAAAAGTGCTCTGAATCCGACGATACTCTTAGGATATGTCGGGGACAACACGGTGAACATTAAACTCCAAAGATAACATACCAAAATCCAAACTTGACCTTATACCCGAACTCAAAAAATGGCCAAAAACGGATTCTAATAAGAGGGAAAGATGTGCGTAGCCAAGACAAACACAAAACACAAAGGCACTACGACTTTTTAACAAAGGGAAGGAGGTTTAATTGAGAGAAGAAGGGTCCCGCCGGGTCCGAAAAAGTGAAATTTGAGCAGACGCGCTCAAATGACAAAACTCTATGAACAAAAAAGAACCAAAATTAGAAAATATGAATAACGGAAGAAACGGCGTCAAAAACTGAGTCCCGAGCAGAGAGATATGCCCTGAACAAGTTCGGCGGCAATTGGGGTTAGAAACCCTGAAACTAGGAGAAAACGACTAGAAGGCAATTCTAAGAGTACACGACTCAACAAAAAGTGAAAATGAATCCCGTACTAGGATCCAGGCTCAAAACGAGACATTTTTGCAAAAACTTTCATTAATTGCACAATGGCCCCTCCAAAAAGTGAAAACTGCACTGATAACCCAGAATGAATATATCTTCCAAAAATATTTTCTTAAAAACTCTTGAAATAAAATATCTTCAAAAGATATTTATAAAAAACACCCCAAGAAAAGAAAACGATTCTGAAAAACTATGCATCCATCCCCCTATGGACACCGGGAGCAGCCAGAGTACTTTACTCCAAAAGCAAAGATACATATTTCGTAGAAACTACTTAGAATGAAGATATATGAAGTCAAAAACTAACTCCAAACACAAAAAGTGAGGTTATGCCAACAAAGTGACAAACGGGGAAAAGACAAAACAGGGAAAATGACGAAAAGTGAATAGTGTCGAAAAACGAAAAATGCAGAAATGACTCAGTCCTTAAAGGAAGTTGTCAATCCAAAGGAAAGAGTCTTGGAAATCAATTCTGAGCACTCGAAATGACACTAAGTGACGAGAAACCAAGCGCAGAACAGAAAAGACAACAAAAAAAAATTTATCCGTAAAATTTGAGGAAAAAGGAAAGGAAAGAAAATAACTGGGTCATTACAATTGGGGGTTTGCAAGAAACTCCCCTGAACTATAAGAAACCCCCTAAACTATTATTTTGTTGCAATTCACCCATTAGGTCACCAGAAAAGGCAAAAGACAATTTCTCCCTTACTATTAACTACAAAACTAGTTTTTGGAACTAGTTTAGATTCTTGTCTAGGACAGTGCTACATTTGTAGCCAAACAGAGGTATTAGGCCTTGATATAATATATATATATATATATATATATATATATATATATATATATCATATACGTCTCTGCAAACCTAGAAGGGGAAAGTACTACAGCCACGGGGATAGCAATGAGGATCGGCCTGCAACGGAAGAACGACAATGAGCTTGGCTGGTTCGAATGATGGTGGTCGTTATGGAGTGACGGTAGAGAAAAGAGTTTAGCGAGGAACGGTGGCTATAGTGGTGGAGAGATGGGCTGACTTGCGGCGGCTAAGATATATATATATATATATATATATATATATATATATATATATATAATCACATACATATATATATATATATATACAAGGCATATATCTGAAATCTATTGAGGGAAATTCATGTATGGAGGTGACGGTGCTTTAGCCACGGCGCTCTTTCTCACCGGTAAGACGGTCCTCGAACTCACCTCCGTACCATTTGATAAAGCTCTAATTATACTCGCCGCCTGAGATTCCGAGGGCGATATCATAATTTTATTGCCGGAAAACAGTCTGTTCTCCGTTAAGTACCGACTTTTCACAAGCGGCGTATCGATTACCTCCACCGAGGCATCATCTGCCGACACGATGCCGTTTGATTTTGCTCTAATGTTCTTCACAAAATCTGACGATTATGACTTCTTAATCGAGAAGTCGCTGAACTGAAGCTTGACATGAACGAAGAAGTTAGGGTTTTGGTTGCCGATCAAATTGAACTCAGCGTTCATGGTCATGGAGCTCGAAATTGGCGACCCGAAGTAACCAGTTCCGATTTTGAATACGAGACTGAAGGGATTCAGCAAATCATTGGGACGATAAGCAATCTTCAAAGAGGGACTTGAATCGAAGAAAGTGTCGAGATTCAAAGAGAGTTCTCTGGATTCACCAGCAACTATACCGGATTGAAATAGAAACCGTAAGATGTTGTTTTATCATTCTTTTTTCATACACAATTCTAGAATAATTGGAGTCCTTATCCTATATCATACTTACGTTAAAGAGCCCGACTTGTGATCAGTAACTGTCTTTCTCTAATCAGCTGATTTTTTCAATTTCTATGTGCATCCGGTAATTTTTTTGCAAAGAAGATGAACAGTGGTTCCAAGGATAATAAGGGCGTGTTTGGGTGTAGCAATAAGAAGGGGGTGTGTTTGTGTTTAGGTGTCAAAATAAGGGGCAATATAGTATTTTCATATTTATAAGGGTATTATGGTCTTTAAATTAAATATTATGGTCATGTGGTATTTTAATGGCGAGTTTCAACCGATGTCGTTGCCGGAGGGGGTCATCTGCAACAAAAATGTATAGTTCGAGGGATTTTTTGCAATTTTTGTAGTTCAGGGGGGTTTATTGCTAATTAGCCAATAGTTTAGGGGGATTTTTTTCATTTAACCTAATTAAATTTGACATATATCTCATTCATTTCTTTGCATGTATCAATCAAATATATCCCTGACAAACTAGGATAAAAATCCTCTATGCCACAACAGAACATATATGTCCAACCAACTGATGCTAATTTGACATACACTTTATGAAAATGTTAAGATTAATATTACGCAAAATTTGAGATTTACGTTAGGAAACAGTTGGGATTCACCTTACGAAAAAGTTGGGACTCACCATAGGAAAATTTTGGGATGCACCTTAGGAAACTGTTAGGATACACTTTACAAATACTTTAGGAAAATGTTGTGATTCACTTTACAAAAATTTTGGGATGTAGATAAGGAAAATTTTAGAATGCTTATTAGGATAAAGTTGGGATGCAACTTAGGAAAATGTTGTGATGTAAGCCCAACGACTAAATATTTTCTTAACATAGATCACAAACTCTTATAACGGGCATACGTATATATTATTGCGGCAGAGAGGATTTTGAACCGACAAACCAACCCAAACAAAAGCTAACTTTCTTCCCTTCAAACATAGTTAAATTAAATCACACTCCAATACTCACAACCATTTTAACACTCTAAAATAGTCTTTTTCGGCACTCATGTACTCTACAAATTTTCTCATTTTTTATCCTCACAAACAAACATTAAAACCACAAATAACTGCACAATAAAAAAATGATCAATTTAAATTCACCATTAATTTTCTATTTCTGGGATTCTTCCAATAATGTCCATTTCTTCTTACTAATTATATTTGTTTCTGCCATTCAGTTCTTATGAAAATAAGACGATTTCCTTCAAAATCAAATCTGAAAATTATGAGTCGTACCTGCTTAGGTTTGGAAATAAGGCGATCTCCTGCTTTGATTTGGAAATACACTCCTGCTTAGTTTTGGAAATACACTCCTGCTTCGTTTTTCGAAGGAAATTAGAATCAACAATTTTATTGGGACTGATAGAAGCGCTGCTTCTATTTGGAAACAATTTGTAGCATCCAAAATTTGGATTGATTCACAGAACAATCGCTATTTTTAGCTTCTATTTGGAAAGAAATCAATTTCTAAAATGGGTTCATTCATATTTTTGGAGAGAAGAAGGCTAGCTCTGGCGGGATTTGATTTCTATTTCAAATAGGTTGCTAAAATGAGGGAGGGAAGAAGAAATAAGGGAGGGAACTATACATATATATATAGAGGAAAATTCTATACTAGGCAAATATACTTTTATGGTAAACACTGTTTATTGACTGAAACTAGAGCAAATGGACTACTATACAACTAGATCCGATCCTGGTCCACTTTTAGATAAGGATAAATGTATCTTTTGATTTTTTTTCGATCTGATTGTTCAAGGAGTGCCCCTATATAACCTAAGGTTAGCTAGCAAATGGTTCACGTACTCAAGAGCTTAAAATTATTATTTTTATTACTCTATTATGATTATTATTTTTTGTACTTGAAGTAATTAGAGACCGACGCTTGCTTGTACCAGAAAGTTGGCGAAAAAGACATGGGCTTTCAAAACATGAGCTATCAAAAGTGATTTTCACCAACCACTACATTAAGATAATAATGGATGTTAATTTTTGAGTGTAAAATATAAACTTCTTATCCAAAATTATTGATGTTCTTATCTATTCAACTATGATTGATTGATGGTTGAATATACATGTATTATTGATTAATTTAGAATCAAAATTTGTTATTTATTTATTTTTTTCACACTCAAAATTTGTTAATTACCTATAAACACATTTTTATTTCTGACAATATTTAGATCCTTGAACAAAAAAGTAGGCAGCACTTCAATTGACAGCAAATATTGACTGTTTCTTTTTTTCTTTTCTCTATCTTTGAAAAATAAAATAAAATAAAAATAAAAATAAAATAAATAAATAAACCAGCTAGCTAGAACAATTATTACAATCAGCCAGATTCAAAATTTCAACAGGTAAGCTCTTTATAAATATCAACAACGACTATGATACACAACAATCCGCCAAAGTCAGGTTACAGCCTTTTCAACAAATAAGTTGGACATTACAAAACAAACATGCCAGTACACTATTTATTAAAAGAATAATAATAAGATCCAACAACACAATGGTAAAGGGAACACCAAAAGAATCCCTTTAATTATGATATACATTAAAAAATTAAAACAATAAATGAATCTCTCAATCCTCAGAAACACGCGTCCAAGACACAGCAACAGCACAAGGCAGCACAACTGCACCACAAAACAGAACCAGCCAGATTCGATTACTACTATTTCAGTCATATATATATATATATATATCATATACATAGATAGAGAACATACCATCCCTTCCAGAAGCCATCACCCCTGGACTGAGTTTGTGCTGAATGATGATGATTCTGGGGATTTGCTTCACCGTCTTTCATTGGATAACCAGCCGGCGGTGGAGCCACATAAGGACCTTGTGGGTACCCCTCAACCGGTGCAGTAGTTGCTGGAAAAGGATATGCTTCTGTCAAATTCATCCAACAACGTGCAATCATATATCTATCTATGGATATATACAAATATATATATACTAGTACCAACTATGCAATACAAGAAATGAAAGATGTAAATATATATTTACCCTGAGGCTTGTTTTGATCGTAGTGACTCATGCTGAGAATTACAAACTTAAAAGTATATGAAACTAGTAGATGATATTTTAGAGAGAGAGAAGGAAGTCAGGAGAAGCTGGATGAAGGAATTGGTTATAGGATGATGTGTGTGTATATATAATATATAGGTAGTGAGATAGAAGTTGGAGTTGTTAGAGTTGTTGCTTAGCCGACGGAGAAAGCAAGGTCGGCCCACACCGCGTGGAGGGAAAAATATTTATATTTATATATATAGATGTAGATGCAAAAACGAGAAGTTCAACTAAAGCAGGCCTTACCTTACCGCGCGGAGGTAAAAAAAAAAAAATATATATATATATATATATATATATAGCTATATAGCGTGTTCTATTCGGTGGAGTCCCTATCTGATGAAGCCCTGACATTTTCCTGAACCTTCTTCATTGTAACACGTGTCCATATCTTTTTCTTTTTTCTATTCAGATTTTTTTCAACCAATGATGCTCCTTTATTCTTCTTTCCCAACTGTGGGCTGGGTGATTTCATTTGAAAGTCAAATCTTATATCATTCAAAACTGATTTTGCGTTTTTTTTTTTTTTTTTTTTTTTTTTTTTTTTTTTTTTTTAATTCAAAGCCTTGTAACATATAGTTAATGCTTGTGAATGTACCCAAGTTTGTTGAACCCTCAAAAATCTAAAGAAATTCACATTTATTTGGAGTTTCCAATGACGAAGTCAAATAATGCTATTAATGATATTTTGATATTAAATTTGGGCGGTTGTCTTTGTTTTTTTTGAAAAGTTGGGCGGTTGTCTTGGGAAAAAAAAAATAAACAGTTTTTATTTAGAAAAAATTACATATAAATGGAGTCAAAGTTCCATATTTAGTTAGAGGCTGAGTCAAAGTTCTATATTTCTCTAAAATGGATTGCTGAGGTGGCACATGATTTTTTACTATTTAGAAATTGTGGTGCCTAAAATACCCTTCCGCGAAGGTACTACTTTTTCTTCGAAGGTACTACTTTTTTGAACTGAAGGTACTACTTTTTGGCGTCCAGGTACCATATTTTTTAAACACCCGCGAAGGTACTACTTTTTTGAACTGAAGGTACTACTTTTTTGTTAGGGAATGGCATTTTAGGCACCACAATTTTCTAAACAGTAAAAAACCATGTGCCACCTCAGCAATCCATTTTAGAGAAATATGGAACTTTGACTCAGTCTCTAAGTAAATATGGAACTTTGACTCCATTTATATGTAATTTTCCCTTTTATTTATTTATTACTATTTTGATAAAAGATAGTTAATATACTCAAAAGAACCAAAGAACAAATTACCGGAAAAAAAAAATAAATAAATAAACAAATAAATAAACATATTAAGAACACTACAACAAACCATATAAGTTACCAAATTGGTCTAAGGGACTTGAACCGGCTCAAGAATTTTTGAACCGGTTCAAGTTGGCTATAAGAGAATTTTTTTTAAAAAGATGTTGCAACTTGAATCGGTTCGGGTGGGGCTAAATCGGTTCAAGTTGGCAAAATGAAAATTTTCTAAAAAGCTTAATTTTGAAACCATGCATGTATCCTCACATACTCAATTATCTTCCTAATGCGTTGTTCTTATCATCACAGAATGTATCAAAGTATGAACACGATCAATTCTTCAATTCTGCTTTCGATCTTGAGTCTTGACAAATCGAACCAAAAACTTACAACTCAATCAAACTTATTTTGACAACGAAATTTGCCAATTACAAATTTATATTTCACAATCTTCCCCTTTGTCAATTTTGTGACAAAACCCCTAAGACAAGTAATCTACCCAAGCAAAAAAATTAAATTACATTAATTTTCAAGAATAGAACAATAATGGAGCTTCGATCATAGAAGCTTCATTAAGGTAGTAGAGCATTTTTTCAATGGAAACAACCTGTAAACCTGCACAATGCTCAAACAAAACTACCCGTGAAAGCTTAATCAAGAAAGATAAACAACATATATCAATATGTGAATATCAATGGATATATCTCCCCCTCATTTCTAGAAACTCTCCCCCTCAAATATCTCAAATATGCACACTTCTCCCCCTTTTTGTTACAAATTGACAAATAAAGCTTAACCAGAAAGGAAAAGAAATAATAAGAGAGAATTAACACGAAGAGAGATAAAAATTATCATCCATCCATATGATATAGCAATAAGCACAACAATATGATGATATATGGTTGCAATGGAACCAAAGACGAGTATCCAAGATAACACTGGTACCATCCACAAAATAAATAAGACCAATCATGCTCAAATTCCTAATAAAAACTAAAAAGAAAATCTTTTTGGGTTTTTTTTAATTTAAATTTTTTTTTTTTTTTTATCTTTCTGATATTTGAACAAAAATTATGAGATTGCAATTTCCATGAATTTCACATATATGAGATCCAAAAAATTTTCAAGGGGGCCTTCACTCTAAAGAGTAGACATCAATTCCCTATTTTGAATTGTCTCCTCCTTTCTTTTTACTCAATTTACTCCAGTTCAAAGTCTAGTAGGAGCTTTCGAACTAATCTCAATAGGTTGCCTTTTCCTTACCAAATATTTTCAACATTCTTTTGATTTTTCTTTTCTTTTCATGCTGAAATGTTTTCATTATTTTTCAAACACATTCTCTATTTTTTTTTTTTTTATTTTAAAAAAACAATAACCTGTATAGTTTGTATGAGCAATATGACCTAGTCAACTTCTCAATGATTTCCTATTAAATTTCTCAGATTTGGACTAGTGCACATGAAAAAATATGAACTCAATAGACACATCTTTAAAAATAAATAAAGAAAGCAAATTGTCTTTCAACACATAAATTACACATCAAGAACATTTTTCATCAAATAATCATGTGTCCCAATTTGCATTCAAAAATAATGAATTCAAGAGAAATAATTATCACTCATGTATTGACGAGAAAAACATAATCATCACTTTCTCATAAATTAAAAAAAAAAAAAAAAAAAAAAAAAAAAAAACCCCAAATACTAAACTACAAGATATGGTCCAATGGAAACAAGATATTCATCAAAGCATAGTCCATGACCATAAAACCACTTTAGGATTTACTCAGGGGGGTTTGCACCCATAGACCTAATAGGAACAAGTCCCATAGCATCAATATGCACATAATTAACCAAGTCTTCCTTTTTTATCCACACAGTTTTTACATTCAACTTTTGATAGAACTTTTCAATTTTAACATTTTTCTTATTTGAATAAATCTTAGCATATGAATTTTTTGGTTGATTCAAATAATTTTACTTCCTAGCATGAACTTTATTCATAGTATAAGAACTATTCGCACGAAATTCAGAATGTGTTTTTCTTCTCTTCTTGTAGCAATAATATTGGCTATGTCCATTCCTACCACAATAATTGGAATGCAAAATAGTAGGCACATAAGAAATATTAGCATGTGATGAATTAACAATCTTAGATTCATTTTTAGGCACATTCAAGTTATTGAGTTTCACAAAAATAGTTTTACCCTAATTACTAGATGAAGCCTTATTGAAATCTAAACTAGTTTTATCATTCACATTCTTGTCATCATTAATCATCTAATAAAGTTTAATCTGCCCAGAAGTAAATCTAATCAATTTCTCTTGTGAATTTTTCAATTCATGCTCAAAAAGATTAACTTTAACAACATGAGATTCTTCAACAGAATTATCTTGAGTTACCTCGCTCTCGATAATTTTTAGCTTTCCTTGAAGACTCTAAATTTCATCTTTGTTCTCTGATGTGTGGTTGACAGTGTCAATAATAAAATACCACATGCAATAGAACTAATCCTTGACATGATAGGGCTACTTAGAGGGTGTCGAACCTCAGGGACTTTGTTGGTTTATCAAGCCTTCAATTAATACTATTTTCACTTAGAGTGAAAGATTGTTTGATGAGTTGTGTTTCAAAAATATAAAAAAATTAAACTAAATATATGACTGAGATTAGAGAGAGAAGATCCTACCTAGGGACTGACTTCACCACGAACCTCATACTATGGTCAACTGTTCAACCTTGGGATTTCAATACTTATGTATAATATGGAATTAAACTCAATAACATTTGTTTAATTCAGATTTAAAGAAAGACGTTTCATGAATTTCAGTTAATAATAACCTATCTTCGGTTGTCACGAATTATCTACCTACCTACTTCTAACTAATGTTGTAGTATAACTCGTCTTCTCTAGGCATAGACTATGAAAACATTGATTCACAAAAAGTCTTTGAACACCATTACATGATCTCTATTCTTATTGTCCGATAAACCCTTAGCCGCCAATCTCGTACTCTAAGAATAGGTTTAATATAGTTTAAGAACAATTAAATCTAAGATAAGGTATTAATTACTTAAAAACTAATATATTTCATTAAAATCCCAGTTGCTTAGAATATCTGGTCAAAATCATGCAATCAAAATACATAAACAATTAAAATCCCAAAGTATAAAACAATCAAACCATAGTAATCGGATTCGGATTACATCAATGTCCTAAGAGAAGACATAGCTACTCATAACAATGGAAGATATCATATGTGTTGTTGTGGACTTCATTGTCATGAACTACACTTTTCTTCTGAGATTCTTCACCTTCAATGCTTTAGAATAACTACAGAAAACCTAAAAGCCGCCACTAGATCTAGAATAAAAGAAAACTAAAACGAGCGAGCTTTTCTGTGGCCTTGTGCATCTTTTTATAGAAGCAACTGACTTCTAACAAGGATTGGATGGGCTTTAGGTCTTCTAAGGTCATTTGGGCCCGTCTAGGACGAATTAGGACTTAATTAGAATTAATCCTGCACTTTAAAAATCAGACTTAACAGGAAAGGCTCGAGCAGAGAAGCTTCTGCTCGAGCTTTCTGGCTAGTGCTCGAGCAGGAATTCTTTACTTAGCTATTTTTCTCCAAATAATTTTCGAAGCGTCTTTTTCATCAACACTTAGAATATTTTGGGATATTTTCTTCAGGGTGCTCGATCACCTTGCTTGGGTGCTCGAGCCTTTGAACTTCTACTTGAGCTTTCTGAGTTATGCTCGAGCCTTGTGATCTCTGCTCGAGCTCTGGCAACATAGATCTTCCAAGGTGTCTTTTCATATTCCGAGGGAGTTCGTTCTCGAGCCCTTTTGCAAATGATCGA